ACATGTGGTGCACTTACAGTAAAAGCAGTCGCCTACTTCTACCCACCATGATTATCATGGCCTGTACCACGTGTACTAGGGATAAGCCAAAAAAAAAAAACATAAGTGGAAATATTTTACAAATTTGTTGAATATTATTTGCATTTGTTTGATGAAAATAAATATGCATACATTTGTTGTGGAGCTTATATCACTTTAATAAATAATCTCGTCGCCAGTTAGCTTTCATTCCTTCTTAGAGTAGAACAGTTTCTATAAAACATCGCCCACTCGAGCCGACAGCTGACCCAGCCCTCGCGTCGGCATACGGGACCATTCTCGGCCTCGAGGGGTGTGGTGGGGGCGTGAAAACTCCCCCTTATTGTCTGGAGGACTCTTTGGAGGAACATCCTGGCCGCTGCCCAATTTCCTAAATAGTATCCTTTCCCCTCTTCCCTATTTTTTCTTTTGTTCTAGTTTCATTGTTTACTACCATTGTACGATATCACTTAGATTTGCATATAATCTCTGGAATCTTTTTTACATATTGGTAACTCTGTTGCATATAATCTATGCAATAGTCAGTAGGTATATATTTGCATATAATCTCTGTACTCCATTTTACATATTGGTAACTATGTTGCATATAATCTATACTAAACAGTCGTAGTATGTTTATATTTGCATATAATCTATAGAACCTTTTTACATATTGGTAACTGTTGCATATCCCTATATCTATAAAAATGAATCCAAAATCGATGTTTGCTATCGCGTTGCGCAAAATCTACAGAATAATGTCTACATTAAAATGTAAAAACCTACAAAATATAAACCTATAAAAATCTACATTCGCATGTAGGTGGCTGAATATTTCGTTTAAACATATAGGCTATTAATAAAACTAAAGAGGTTTATGTGCTTTTTTTTTTTTATGTAAAACCAAAATGCGTTAGTTCCGGCCTTTTACCGCTTGCCGCTGCACTGGTCGCGACGATAAATGTATTTGATTGGTTAATAATTTTACACGCTGTTTGTAATGGAATTGGTGTAATCTTAACACAAGGGGATAAGAAACAACAACACTCTCTATAAACAGCTGGAGGAACATGGAATCATGGAATTGGTGTAATCTCTACACAAGGGGATAAGAAACAACAACAACACTGTCTATAAACAGCTGGAGGAGCATGGACTCATGGAATTGGTGTAATCTTTACACAAGGGGATAAGAAACAACAGCAACACTGTCTATAAACAGCTGGAGGAGCATGGACTCATGGAATTGGTGTAATCTTTACACAAGGGGATAAGAAACAACAACAACACTGTCTATAAACAGCTGGAGAAGAATGGACTCAGTGAATTGGTGTAATCTTTACACAAGGGGATAAGACACAACAACAACATTGTCTATAAACAGCTGGAGAAGCCATGGACTCATGGAATTGGTGTAATCTTTACACAAGGGATAAGAAACAACAACAACACTGTCTATAAACAGCTGGAGAAGCATGGACTCATGGAATTGGTGTAATTTTTAAAAAGGGGATAAGAAACAACAACAACATTGTCTATAAACAGCTGGAGAAGCATGAACTCATGGAATTGGTGTAATCTTTACACAAGGGGATGTGTTGAACAAAATTGCCTGTCTCCTTAAAAAAAAAAAAGACGACCGGCGACATTAAAGACTTTAAAATTCCTTACATTTTGTCCATGAGTGTATATGCAATATCAGGTTATAACAATCAGCTTGAATGTTTGTAGTTTGCGCTCCAAGGTGTACTTGCACAATTACAGCAATACAAATTTGTTGGAAAAAAATAAAATATTGCTTGGAAGTATTCAAACATAAATCCTAGCCGTGTAATACAAGACATTTGTGGGACAAGCATTGCTATGGAGGGGATCCTAAAATCTTCCACTTGAAGAGCTAACATCAACATCACTACAACATCATTCCATATAGCTTGGATACGTAACTCAGATACGTAAACTCCGCCTTTTCCGGTCTCAAGCCTGGATGGAGGAGGGGGAGCAGTAACAAGCTCACTAAACAACCTGGGCTCAGCTGGCCCGGCTGATAGAACCCTGTAAGGACTCCAGGGATACAGGATGAGCAGCGTTTGTACTCCATGTTAGGAGTGGCTGTACGTGGTGTCTGTTCCTCATGTCAGAGACGGCCATTTTTTTGGAGCTAAGTCAGTGGCCTGCTACTGAGTAGTGCTCCCAGTCTTAATGACAAACACATTCTACTGTAAGGACTCCAGGGATACAGGATGTACTCCATGTTGGCTGTACATGTTCCTCATGTCAAACATATTGGAGCTAAGTCAGTGGCCTGCTACTGAGTAATGCTCCCAGTCTTAATGACAAACACATTCTACTGTAAGGACTCCAGGGATACAGGATGTACTCCATGTTGGCTGTACATGTTCCTCATGTCAGACATATTGGAGCTAAGTCAGTGGCCTGCTACTGAGTAGTGCTCCCTGTCTTAATGACAAACACATTCTACTGTAAGGACTCCAGGGATACAGGATGTACTCCATGTTGGCTGTACATGTTCCTCATGTCAGACATATTGGAGCTAAGTCAGTGGCCTGCTACTGAGTCCCAGTCTTAATGACAAATACATTCTACTGTAAGGACTCCAAGGATACAGGATGTACTCCATGTTGGCTGTACATGTTCCTCATGTCAGACATATTAGAGCTAAGTCAGTGGCCTGCTACTGAGTAGTGCTCCCTGTCTTAATGACAAACACATTCTACTGTAAGGACTCCAGGGATACAGGATGTACTCCATGTTGGCTGTACATGTTCCTCATGTCAGACATATTGGAGCTAAGTCAGTGGCCTGCCACTGAGTAGTGCTCCCAGTCTTAATGACAAACACATTCTACTGTAAGGACTCCAGGGATACAGGATGTACTCCATGTTGACTGTACATGTTCCTCATGTCAGACATATTGGAGCTAAGTCAGTGGCCTGCTACTGAGTCTCTGTCTTAATGACAAACACATTCTACTGTAAGGACTCCAGGGATACAGGATGTACTCCATGTTGGCTGTACATGTTCCTCATGTCAGACATATTGGAGCTAAGTCAGTGGCCTGCTACTGAGTCCCAGTCTTAATGACAAACACATTCTACTGTAAGGACTCCAGGGATACAGGATGTACTCCATGTTGGCTGTACATGTTCCTCATGTCAGACATATTGGAGCTAAGTCAGTGGCCTGCTACTGAGTCTCTGTCTTAATGACAAGCACATTCTACCGTAAGGACTCCAGGGATACAGGATGTACTCCATGTTGGCTGTACATGTTCCTCATGTCAAACATATTGGAGCTAAGTCAGTGGCCTGCCACTGAGTAGTGCTCCCAGTCTTAATGACAAACACATTCTACTGTAAGGACTCCAGGGATACAGGATGTACTCCATGTTGGCTGTACATGTTCCTCATGTCAGACATATTAGAGCTAAGTCAGTGGCCTGCTACTGAGTAGTGCTCCCAGTCTTAATGACAAACACATTCTACTGTAAGGACTCCAGGGATATAGGATGTACTCCATGTTGGCTTTACATGTTCCTCATGTCAGACATATTGGAGCTAAGTCAGTGGCCTGCTACTGAGTAGTGCTCCCAGTCTTAATGACAAAGGCAGACGCATTATACTTCACCCAGTCATGATTGAGATTGATACCCTGATATGAAGATAAGAAAGAAGAAGGATACGTGAGCTGGCATGTTCAAGCCCCTACTGACTATACTAATCTTGCTGAGCCAACCTATTGCAATATTTAAGTAAAAAAGTTAAAACCTTTGATTAGGTACAATTTGGATTATATTTTATTAGAAATTAACACAGAACAAGCTGAGTTTTCGTCTCCTTAGTTTAAAGCTATGAAAGATTACACACTGGGTAGGTTGTGACACTACTAGGTTCTATACAAGATGAAAGTTCTCAGCCTGACCCAGAGATGATGTTCCAATCGAGTAGGTTTCCTCCCTGTGTGCGCATGTCATTAGTTTCGACTAAGTTCAACTTGTTTGCTCAAGAAGTTCATCTAAATGAGTCTTTGCAGAACATGTCTTGCACATATTTTGTTAAAATGGATAAACTATAATATCTTGCAGTTATTAAATTCTTTGTTTTGGATGGATTAACACCTAAAGTATTTTTGCCTTCTGCCTTTGCTGGTCCAGGTCCCGGATGAAAAAGAAGGAGGGGGAGCAGTAACAAGCTCACTATGAAACACTGGGCTCAGCTGGCCATGCTGATAGTACCCTGTAAGGTCTCCAGGGATACAGGATGAGCAGTGTTTGTACTCCATGTTAGGAGCGGCTGTACATGGTGTCTGTTCCTCATGTCAGAGGCGGCCATTTCTTTTGGAGCTAAGTCAGTGGCCTGCTACTTAGTAGTGCTCCCTGTCTTAATGAGATTCTACTTCACCCAGTCATGATGGTTGTTAAACAGACACCATCAAGGGTTACAACTTGATACCCTAATATGATTGAGTGGAGATAAGAAAGAAGAAAGAAGCATTTTTATCCGAAGTTGACAAAAAGGAACTCTGCTCATTCAATTTCAACTATTAAAGAGTAGGAAGCTGAATTTAAACGTGGTCGCTGGTCTCACGAAGATGACTCGTGTGAAGGACAACCAAAAACTGTAACCATACTTTAAATTATAGAAAAGCTGCACAATATTGTGTTGGACGATTGGCAAGTAGAGGTGCGTGAAATAGCTGAGGCCGTGAGAATATTGGAAGGTGTGCGGAATATCTTGCATGAAGAATTAGGGATGTGAAAGCTCCGTGTGAGGTGGGTTCCACATTTCCTTAATACAGATAAGGTACAATTTGGATTATAGATTATAAACACAAGGTAATATGACCAAATCTAATGATAAGGCACAATTTGGATTATAGATTATAAACACAAGGTAATAAAACCAAATCCAAATAAAGTGTGTGACGTTTAGGTAACAGCGTTGTTACCATCTTCAGACAAAGGGGATGTAGCTCAGATGGTAGAGCGCTCACTTAGCATGTGAGAGGTACTAGGATTGATACCCAGGATCTCCATCTTTTTCATTCAGTACTTTATCTGAAGATGGTAACAACGTTATTACCGAAATGTCACACACTATTTATTTATTTGGATTTGGTCTTATTACCTTGTGTTTGTTTAATACAGTTCAACAACATTCACAGCAATGTTTGAACCTATTTAAGAGGGATCCAACTCATTTTTGAACCGATTTGTCACCATGGATGAGACATGGGTCCATCACTATACGCCAGACACCAAACAGCAGTCAAAGCAGTGTGCAGAAGCCGGTGGTTCAGCGCCAAAGAAGGTGAAGTCGATCGCATCTGCCAGAAAGGACATGGCCAGTGTCTTTTGGGATGTCAAAAATATCCTGTTAATTGATTACCTTGTAAAAGGCAGAACTATTACATGTGGACCCAGGAGGAGCTCTGAACATCAGAAATAGACAGCATCAAACAACACTAATAAGATTTAGAACAGGCCATCTCAAGCCATTGAAGATAGAAGATAACAACAAAATCTACCCCACTTGCCCAAAATGTAGCTTGGCACCTGTAGCTCCAGAACACATTTTGGCTTGCATTAGATGTACTTAACAGGACCTTTGGGAGAGGCCGCTGCTTATCATAAAACAGCTCGAGGAACATGGACTCATGGAATTTGAGTAATCTTTACACAAGGGGATAAGAAACAACAACAGAACTATTGCAGGTGAATATTATTCTAACTTTCTTGACCATCTGGATGTAAAAATTTGTGATAAGAGGTCTGGCTTGGGGAAGAAAAAAAATTAACTTTCACCAGAACAACGCACCTGCTCACAAAAAGTGTTTTGGCAATGAAAAAACTGTGAAATTTGAAGTACAATTTGTTCGACCATCTTCCCTAATCTCCTGATTTGACACCTTTCTACCTACACACCTAAAGAAATATGTTTCTTGAAAGCGTTTTGCGTCCAATGAAGAAGTTGAGAGAGCTGTAGATGAATATTTTAATAGACTTCCAGACTCTCATTTCTGGGAAGGAATACTGATATTGGAGAAACTCAGAACCAAGTGTGTTGAAGTCAAGGAAGATTATGTAGAAAAATAAAATGATAAAGCATTATTTGATTTATAGATTATAGCTACAAGAAAATAAGACCTTATCCAAATAATTTAAAAGTGTGTGACGTTTCAGCATTGTTACCATCATCAGACAAAATAATATTAAATACTAAAAAGAATTATTTTGTCTGATTATGGTAACAACGCTGTTACCGAAATGTCACACACTATTAAATTATTTGGATCAGGTCTTATTACCTTGTATCTAAGAAAAATTAAATATTTTTTATATATTAACTAAAAATAAAGATTCTTTCATTGTCTTCTTCTTTCTTATCTCCATTCAATCATATTAGGGTATCAAGTTGTGACCCTTGATGGTGTCTGTTTGACAACCATCATGACTGGGTGAAGTAGAATCTCATTAAGACTGGGAGCACTACTCAGTAGCAGGCCACTGACTTAGCTCCAAAAGAAATGGCCGCCTCTGACATGAGGAACAGACACCATGTACAGCCGCTCCTAACATGGAGTACAAACACTGCTCATCCTGTATCCCTGGAGACCTTACAGGGTACTATCAGCATGGCCAGCTGAGCCCAGTGAGCTTGTTACTGCCTCCCCTCCTCTATCCGGGCTTGGGACCGGCAAAGGTGGAGTTAAAGTCTGGAAGTCAAAGATTCCTGTTTCCTTGAGAATACCGAATGGATGACATCCTAGGAGTAATATGGCCACCCAGACCTTTCGGTCCATAAGCCGATCCTTTTTCTCTAGCCACCGTACCAAAGAAATGATGCATTCTCCATGCACCGAGCGGCCAATTGTTTGGCCCCTCGTGCCCGCCTTTATGGTCTGGCTTCATGGGGTCAACCAATCAACCCACAGGCTTCTCCGAGAGTTCATGGCCAGGTTGCTGTCCGATCCCTCCCGTTCGGAATTGGTTTAACCCGTCCTACGCTCCAATAGGTCACTGCTCATCCTGTATCCCTGGAGTTCTTACAGGGTACTATGGCCAGCTGCCTTATCCTGGTAAAAGAACTAAGCAAGAGTGACAAACATCACACAGTGAGAATGTGTAAACCATCTCAGTGCCATTTGACCTCCCAGCTGACATTTGATCCTGCAGAGGTCTGTCTTCTTTTATCCTCTTTGCAGCCATCCTTCTGTTCTTTTCTCCATCTTTAAATATCCCTCACTTATCCTCCAACTATACAAGGTAATTCACACAAGGTAATAAGACCAAATTCAAATAAATAAATAGTGTGTGACGTTTCAGCAACAGCATTGTTACCATCATCAGACAAAAGAATACTTAATACTAAAAAGAATTATTTTGTCTGATGATGGTAACAACGCTGTTGCTGAAACATCACACACTATTTATTTATTTGGATTTGGTCTTATTACCTTGTGTTTATAATCTATAATCCAAATTGTGCCTTATCACTAGGTAATTCAATAACATAATCCCTTGTCAAAATACGAAACTATTATAGACACGTATGATTCTTTTAAAAATAAATAATTTCTACTGCCCTTACTGTAATGGAAAAAATTAATGATAGATTAAACTGGGGAAACTGCTGGGAGGGTTCACCACTGATTAGCCAGGCCCTCCCTCCCAATATATTTTTCCATTGCAGTAAGGGCAGTAGAAATTGTACGCGTCTATAATAGTTTCGTATTTTGATAACAGATGGCGCGCTAGTGTATCATAATACAATCCCTTGTATCAATATAAAGCTAAACACATCAGACTTCCAGGAAAACTTTCTTTTTTGAATTATAGATACAAGAAAATACATATAAAATGAAAGGATTTAAAAGCACAATTGTTTCTTTTATACATAATAACAAACTTCTACTGTCCTTACTGCGATAAAAAAATATATTGGGAAGGCTTGGTTCATCAGTGGTGAACCCTCCCAGCGGTTTCGCCAATTTAATCTACCAGACCGCTTCTGATGAGCCAAGCCCTCCCAATATATTTTTTCATCGCAGTAAGGACAGTAGAAGTTTGTATTACGTATAAAAGAAACAATCGTGCTTTTAAATCCTTTCATTTTATATGTATAGATGGCGCATTATTGCTTTGTGTTAAGAAAATATATATACACTTGAACCTGTCTATAGCGCCCCCTCTAAATAGTGCTTTCCAGTTGGTCTCAAGGACCACGCCATCACCATCTCCTCAGCGGCGAAGTACGCGATCTACGTGTTCTCTGTAGATCACCAAATACGTGGTGTTGCTGGACTGGTGATTCTCCACCAAACTCTGCAGCGGTGGTAGAGACGTCATATTCATCGTACATAGTGTATTATAATGCATATTATCTTTTTTTAAATAGTGCAGACTGTGTACTTTGAATGTATTGACAAGATGTCAATAAAATTATTTGAATTGTCTAAATAGTGCTTCCCTCTCTATAGCGCCCGATTTTAAATACGTAGTACCGCCAAATTATATTGACAAACATTTTCAGTTTTTTTCTGATCAATTTTTAGCAGGAAGAATGTTGTTTTCGTTTTTAGTGAACAAATCTTTTACGTCATTGGACGAATGTGGCCATGTCTGTATATAAGAGGGGACTAAGGGAATGCGAGGGGGGGCCCAGAGCGTGGAGAATTGGTGTGGAGACGTTTAAAGTATTTTTCTGCGTGGTTTTTCCGTGTCTGGGGATCCCTTCGCATCCTGGTGTGACCCCGGTCCGATCCCTACCAACGCTACAATAAAGATAAGCACTGTTTTGTTTTTATTTTACCAATCGCGAGTTTTATTGACTTCCTTCTTGTTGTTGGTGTTGTACTCTTGAGTGTACGCTTTTCTGTGTATTAAGTTACATTTACTTTAGGCCCTAGTATATTCCATTTTTGTGTGATAACCCGTAATAGTAACTTTTGTCAGTACGATGCGATTTACATTAAAAGTGACCTGTCTATAGCATCCCCTCTCTATAGCACCCTATTTTGGTGAGTCCCAAGAAGGGACGCTATAGACAGGTTTAACTGTACATTAAAAGTGACCTGTCTATAGCACCCCCTCTCTATAGCACCCTATTTTGGTGAGTCCCAAGAAGGGACGCTATAGACAGGTTTAGCTGTACATTAAAAGTGACTGTCTATAGCACCCTATTTTGGTGAGTCCCAAGAGGGGGCACTATAGACAGGTTTAACTGTACATTAAAAGTGACCTGTCTATAGCACCCTATTTTGGTGAGTCCCAAGAGGGGGCACTATAGACAGGTTTAACTGTACATTAAAAGTGACCTGTCTATAGCACCCCCTCTCTATAGCACCCTATTTTGGTGAGTCCCAAGAGGGGGCGCTATAGACAGGTTTAACAGTACATTAAAAGCGACCTGTCTATAGTACCCCTCTCTATAGCACCCTATTTTGGTGAGTCCCAAGAGGGGGCGCTATAGACAGGTTTAACTGTACATTAAAAGTGACCTGTCTATATATATATAATACCTAATCCAAATAAATTGATGCTTTTGTATGAAGATGGTAACAATGCTGTTACCGAAACGTCACACACTATTTATTTTTTTGCATTTGGTCTTATTACCTTGTGTTTATAATCTATAATCCAAATTGTGCCTTATCATTTTTATAGACTTCAATGGATGAAGATGGTAACAATGCTGTTACCGAAATGTCACACACTATTTGCTTATTTAGATTTGGTCTTATTACCTTGTGTTTATAATCTATAATCCAAATTGTGCCTTATCATTTTTATAGACTTCAATGGATGAAGATGGTGACAACGCTGTTACCGAAACGTCGCACACTATTTGCTTATTTAGATTTGGTCTTATTACCTTGTGTTTAAAGGTGTAACATATAGAATTTTTGGTAAGATAGACAATTACTTCACCATGTATTTTGTCCTCCATGAAGTTTGAGGAAGAGTTAGTACAGGAAAGCCTGCACCTAATATGTAATACAGAAGCCTATTGTATTTCAACTTTTCACCTTTCATA